ATGGTGTGTAGGTCTGCCCTGGGGAAGTGAAGCTTATCATTGGCACTGCTATGGCGTTTCTCTGCTGCTGCCGTGGTGCCCACGCTGGTCAGAGCCACCTCTTCCTGGATCTCAGCTGTGGTGTGGCCGTTCTGCTGCACAGCTCCTCCTGGTGGACAGCAACCACATTACACAATTTGTATGTTTGAGATTGACTACATTGCTGTCAAACTGCACAAAATCACTGATCTACAAATCACCTTGCATCCCAAATAACTACTCATTATGTGATCAAGATAAGCGATTCTGCACCTCGCCTTGGTCAAACTGATCCCCTGAAACACTGTGTCATGTAATGTCAACATTAAAGATGAAGAAAAGGAGGAGAAGATTGGGAAATCTGTTTCTCAGGGTAAGAGCAGATTCTATCCAATTAAGTTTGTTGGACATGATTTGGAAAGGCACACACCTGTCTATGTACAGTGCATTCGGAGAGTATTCAGACCCCTTGACTTTTTTTAGATTTTGTTACGTTACAGCCTCATTGTAAAATAGATTTAATTGTTTTTTTCCCTCATCAATCTACTCACAATACCCCATAATGATAAAGCCAAAACTGATTTTTGTTCAATTGTTGCAGAAACAACATCTGAACGATCACATTTACAAAATGTCTTTCTACTCTGCGAGTGTCTGGACCAGGGTTCTTCAATTCCGGTCCTGGAGGGACGAAACACCTCTGTTTTTCATCCTCTCCTTCTAATCAGGGGCTAATTCAGACCTTGGACACCAGGTGAGTGCAATTAACTACCAAGTAGAAATAAAGAACAGAGGTGTTTCGACCCTCCAGGACCGGAATTGAAGAACCCTGGTCTAAACCATGATCACCTTGATTTCATTCATCTCAGTCTCATTGCAAAGGGTGTTTATTATAATACTTATGTAAACAATATATTTTTGTAGTTTTTAATACATTTGCAAAAATGTCTAAGAACTTCTTTTCACTTTTTCATTATGGGGTATTGTGTGTAGATTGATGAGGAATTGTTTTATTTAATTCATTTCGGAAGAGGGCTGTAACGTAACAAATTGTGTAAAGGATCAAGGGGTCTGAGTACTTTCATAATGCACTGTACATATCCAAAAGTGGACCTAGAAGTTTGTCCTTAAATATCTATTGGGAGCCCATCTGGACCTTCCGCTTAACCTCCCTTCATATCGAAAATAGCATCAGATTTTTCAACACCATCCAATTCCTTTTCCAGATCCAATTTAGTGTCTTCTGAAGTAGAGGGAAAATCAAGACCTGACTAGTTCAGTTCTCAGGAGATTCAGAGTTGTAAAGTGTGTTGTAGTAGGAAGCAAATGTTTGGTTTATTTCTACAGGATCCATTGATAATTGTCCTTGTAAATTATGAATTGCATTAAAGGCTGAATTTTACTTCTTACTGTGCCAGGCCAGCAATTTACCAGGTTTTTCACCTTGATCATAGGACTGTTTCAGCCTAGTTAAGCTGTTTGCAGCCTTTGAGGTGGGAAGTTCTTCATACTGAGCTTTAAGACCAAATCATTCCTTGTTTACTTCTACTGAGTTATCCAATTCTCTGATTGTGCTGTCCATCTCTCATTTTCTGATTTTTATTTTATTTTAAACTGGTAAACTCCTGAGTGGCGCAGTGGTCTAAGGCACTGCATCGCAGTGCTAACTGTGCCACTAGAGATCCTGGTTCGAATCCAGGCTCTGTCGCAGCCGGCCGCGACCGGGAGACTCATGGGCGGCGCACAATTGGCCCAGCGTCGTCCAGGGTAGGGGAGGGAATGGCGGCAGGGATGTAGCGTTGATAGAGCATGGCGTTTGCAATGCCAGGGTTGTGGGTTCGATTCCCACGGGGAATAAAAAAATATGTATTCACTAACTGTAAGTCACTCTGGATAAGAGGGTCTGCTAAATGACTAAAATGTAAATTTGAAATCCACAAGAACTTAGCATAGTAAAAAGTACAGACAGTAATGTGGGCAGATATTTCCCAATACAAATTAAACATACTCAAGCCTTTATGATTGGAAATATGATAATGATAATATTTTGAAATCAGAGAAAAGTTCCTTGAGTGTACAACACCTACTTTAAGCGCTGAGCACTTTAATGCCAAAACTGAGATTAGTGTTGGGTTGTACAGATGAGAGGGAACAAGTGGAGCCATTATATGTGGATTAACTTCACAAACAAATTATTTAAATTTGTAAAGAGAGCACCCCAGTTAATCTTATTTAATCTTAAAGACTCTCACCAAATTACATAAGACCACGTAACACTCAAAACCCAGGTATGTGACTATGGTGACTATTGCACATTCCTTGCAATGCTCTTGGCAGCCACATGGTGGTGGCATGTCAACTGGATATGAGTGAGTACAAAATGTTCAACATAGGGGCAGAGTATGATGTAGGTATGAGCATTCAGACTAATAAATACATGTTTATTCTATGACTTACACGGACACAACTACTTGCCAGACACGTAGCCTACACAAGATGATAGCAAACATTGCATTTACTCAGAAACCCTCTGCCAATTGACTCTCCCTATCCATACTATTAAACTTGAATGCACGCACACATACACGCCCACCCGCCTACACCGATCCCACACCCACCCACCAACCCACCCAGCACCATGTTACCCAACACACACCCCACACCTACCAACCCACCACGTCAACCCCCTCACTTAATTGGCACCTTAATTGGGGAGGAGTGGCTTATGGTAATGGCTGGAGCGGAATTGGTGGAATGGTATCAAATACATCAAACATATGGTTTCCATGTGTTTGGTGCCATACTATTTGCTCCGTTCCAGACATTATTATGAGCCGTCCTCCCCTCAGCAACCTCCACTGCCCCACACACACACACCCATCCCCCCAACTCACCGTTAAGACACTCCATCTCAGGCTCCTCTCCCTGCTGGCCCTTCTGCAGTCTCTTGGCGTTACGTCTCTTCTTGCAGTAGAACATGAGGCCCAGCACCACTATGATGTAGGCCACGGCTGCCCCCACAGACAGACCTATAGTCTGGATCATTTTATAGGGTGCCTTCTCCTCATGATCCACCAATGTCTGCACCGGTTTCTCTGCAAAAGACAGAGGAAAGAGGACATATGGTTATTTATTTTATTTATTCAGGTAGGTTGATGAGAGCAATTCTCTTTGTTAAACATAGTGACGTGTTAAAGTTGAAGTGATAGTTCATCAGATGTTACATGTAGGTTTATTGAGAATACATTCCCTTTAACAATAACGGCCTGGTTGACTGTAACAGAGCAGTTTGTTCGTTAAGTTTGTCTGATTTTTCAGAATCTCAAAATTGGTCATATGGCAAGATGAGTCCATGATTTATGCCATCTGTTGAGTAGATCCAACTATATGCCTTAATCCCAAATGAATTACAAAGATAGGCAACGTCTGATTTCTTCATTATCATTTTAAATAGTGCTCTTTTCCAGTCATTTAGGATTGAGACGTCGTATACACAACAGATGGCATGGGACATGGTTGGACAGATCTCAGCTTGGAATGTTTTTTAATCAGGTACCGACTGCTTGAGAAAATAGTGTTTTGTGTCCATCCAAGTAATATTGAATAGACAGCATATGGTTTATTAAAGTTCAGAACTGTTTCTTTTCTTTAATGTCTTTGTTCGGCAAACTGGCCCAGAAAAAAAAGATCCAAAGATTTCACACACATCATCCATTCATAACCAGAGCCTTAAAAACTGGAAGAAAATGAATTGTCTCCTACAATGAACTACTTCAGCAAACTAAATTGTCTCCTTAAGAAGAGACCCTTATCAACCTATTTGGATAAGAAGAGACCCTTATCAACCTATTTGAATAAGAGGAGAACCTTATCAACCTATTTTAAGCTACAAGCCAAGCACAAGAAGGAGTCACAGTGTGTGAGAGAGGGTTGATTAAATCTAGGGTCTGTCCAGTCCATGTCACCTCACTGACTGTCACGATCGTTGACGAACGAGAAGGACCAAGGCGCAGCATGATAAGCATACATGTTTATTTAACGAATAAACACCACGACAAAACAACAAACGAAACGTGAAGTCCAAGGTAGCATACACACAACATACCTTACACGGAACAAGATCCCACAACTAACTAATGCCAAAAGGCTGCCTAAGTATGGTCCCCAATCAGAGACAACGATCTACAGCTGCCTCTGATTGGGAACCACCCCGGCCAACATAGATCTACACATTCTAGATCTAACACATAGAAAACCACATAGCAAACCCAACACAGAAAATACACACCCTGACTCAACAAATACAAGTCCTCAGAGTCAGGGCGTGACACTGACGCCCCTGGCGTCACAGGTTATTAGAATGCTCAGATGGCTGAGTGGTTAATTACAGTCCTCATCCAGTCTTCGTGATTACTGCTCGCACATACACACACACACACACACACACACACACACACACACACACACACAGTAACATGGTGTTGGTGGCATCCCGTTTCAGCCGTGTGTGTCTATGTGTGTGTGTGTGTGTGTGGACGTGTTTAACTATACTTGTGGAGACCAGAAGTCCCCACAAGAATAGTAAATGAACAACAATTTGACCAACTGGGGACATTTTGTTGGTCCCCACAAGGTCAAATGCTATTTCTAGGGAGTTTAGGGTTAGCATTAGTGTTAGGGTTAGAATTAGGTTTAGGGTTAGGTTTAGGAGCTAGGGTTAGTTTTAGGGTTAGGAGCTAGGGTTAGGTTTAAGGTTGGGGTTAAGGTTAGGTTTTCGGGTTAAGGTTAAGGTTAGGGTTAAGGTTAGGGTTAGGGTAAGAGGACGGGTTAGGGTTAGGGATTAGGGAAAATAGGATTTTGAATGGGACTGAATTGTGTGTCCCCACAAGGTTAGTTGTACAAGACTGTGTGTGTGTGTGTGTGTGTTTGTGTGCGTGAGAGATAGACTCACCCACTACATAGAGCTGTGCCACGCAGTCACTGATGCTGCAGCTGTTTCCGGCAATGCAGGTGTACTTGCCTGTGTCGTCCGTGGTGACATCAGTTATCACCAGAGAGTCATTGGGCATTATCTGGAACCTGAGAAAGAAAGAAAGAAAGAAAGAAAGAAAGAAAGAAAGAAAGAAAGAAAGAAAGAAAGAAAGAAAGAAAGAAAGAAAGAAAGAAAGAAAGAAAGAAAGAAAGAAAGAAAGAAAGAAAGAAAGAAAGAAAGAAAGAAAGAAAGAAAGGAGTGGGGGGATAGAAAGAGAGAGAAAAAAATTGTGATAGAGAGGGAGAGAGAAAGAAAGAGCGTGAAATAAAGTTACACAGTATGGAGGCTTTATCCCTTGTTCCCTTGATTGCCTCCTTCCGATACAAAAAATATATCTGGGGTAATTGGCTTGGACTTATTCACATGCTCCACATCAAGTCACTACTTCACTGTTCGGTAGTGATTGATTCCTGAAAGCTATCATGGAACATTATTCTCCGGTTCACTGCAGTACCTGTATCGCAAATAGTATCCAAGAGTAAATTACATTCTAGTAATTTAGCAGACACTCTTAGTCGCCTCAGTGTGCAGTGTCTGTCCTTTCACGTTGTGCAATATACTTTTCAGCTCTGCATCTTTATTTGTTGATGTTTCAGTCAACAAGTTAAAGACTATCTTGTTTTTGTGATTACACCTTTCATAGATTTTCCAAAACATACACAAATACACTTTATGGTGCAATGCAATCCAGTCCTTTTTATTCCCAGCACCACAAAGGGAGAAAATGTTGTTGTGTGTGTTATTATTGTCTCTCTAAGACTGTGTGTAAAGCCTTACCTTCTCCTGCTGGTGTCCAGCACCTTGTCCTTAACCATCCACTGGATGTGGGGCTCAGGGTCTGCTGTGGCCTGGCAGTGTAGGATGGCTGTGTGGCCCTGGTAGACTGTGGTGTACTCTGGCTCCAGCTTGAAGGTGATATACACTACACACACACACACACACACACACACACACACACACACCACCGTTAATACAGTATACCATACATCTCCAAACACAGTTCAGGAAACTGACTTATTCTACAGACTTACTGTGGTGACATTGTGGTTGGCTTTTCTGTGTGTCAACCACAAGTGTCTACAACACCTAATGGAGTTCTCACGCCCTGGCTCTGGGACTCTTATATGTTGAGCCAGGGTGTGTAGTTCTATGTGTTTGTGTTCTATGTTAATTATCTAGCTCATGTGTTTCTGTGTTGGCTGGGGTGGTTCTCAATCAGAGGCAACGAGTATCAGCTGTTGCTTGTTGTCTCTGATTGGGTACCATACTTAGGCAGCCTGTTTTCCACAGTGTATTGTGGGATCTTGTTCCGTGTATGGTTTGTGTCTGTAACCGAGGACTTCTCGTTTCGTTTTGTTGTTTTTGTTTCGTGTGGTAAATATAATAAAGTATGTTCGCATATCACGCTGCGCATTGGTCTACTCCCTACGACGATCGTGACAGAAGATCCCACCAACACAGGACCAAGCAGCGTGCCCAGGAGCAGACAGCCTGGACGTGGGAGCAGATATTGGACGGGCAGGGGTCCTGGACTTTGGAGGAAATCCAGGCCGGGATGGATCGCCGTCCGTGGGAGGAGACGGTGGAGGCGCGCCGGAGAGAGGAGCAGCGGGGCCAACCGGGTCGTCGTCGGACAGGCGAGAGGCACCCCCAAGAAATGTTTAGGGGGGCGCACATGGCCTGGACGACGGGGCTGCTGGAGGCAGATAAGGGGCGAGTTAGTGGACGAGGAGAGAAGGCCACCGGGTTACGGGAGCCATTGGCGAGTAGAGGGAAGGAAAATGTAGAGGCACGGCGAGAGGTACTGAGGTGTGTTGCCAGTCTGGTCCGGCCCGTTCCTGATCCCCGTGTAAGGCCAGTGGTGTGTGTTCCCAGTGCGGTCTGGCCTGTTCCTGTCCCTCGCACCAAGCCTACGGTGCGCGTCGCCAGCCTGGTCCGGCCTGTTCCTGCCCCTCGCACCAAGCCTACGGTGCGAGTCGCCAGCCCGGCCCGGCCTGTTCCTGCCCCTCGCACCAAGCCTACGGTGCGCGTCGCCAGCCCGGCCCGGCCTGTTCCTGCTCCCCGCACCAAGCCAATGGTGCGCGTCGCCAGCCCGGCCCGGCCTGTTCCTGCTCCCCGCACCAAGCCAATGGTGCGCGTCGCCAGCCCGGCCCGGCCCATTCCTGCTCCCCGCACCAAGCCTGTGGTGCGCATCGTCAGCCCGGTCCGGCCCGTTTCTGCTCCCCGCACCAAGCCAGGGGTGCGCGTCGTCAGCCTGGTCCGGCCCGTTCCTGCTCCCCGCACCAAGCCTGTGGTGCGCATCGTCAGCCCGGTCCGGCCCGTTTCTGCTCCCCGCACCAAGCCAGGGGTGCGCGTCGTCAGCCTGGTCCGGCCCGTTCCTGCTCCCCGCACCAAGCCTGTGGTGCGCTTCGTCAGCCCGGCACAGTCCGTGCCTGGGTCACCGGTGCCTGGTCAGGTACCGGTCAGCTGCTCCACATCGGAGCCTAAGCAATCCGCTCCACCGATGTCCAGTCCAGCTCCAGCCAGCGGGGCCAGACCGGACCAGGGGCGCTACGGGGGGATTGTTGGAGGGTGGTGGTCAAGCCCGGAGCCGGAACCGCCTCCGAGGAGGAATGCCCACCCGGCCCTCCCCTGTTCGGTGTTTGTTTGGCGCGGTCGCAGTCCGCGCCTTTGGGGGGGGGGGGGGGGTACTCTCACGCCCTGGCTCTGGGACTCTTATATGTTGAGCCAGGGTGTGTAGTTCTATGTGTTTGTGTTCTATGTTAATTATCTAGCTCATGTGTTTCTGTGTTGGCCGGGATGGTTCTCAATCAGAGGCAACGAGTATCTGCTGTTGCTTGTTGTCTCTGATTGGGTACCATACTTAGGCAGCCTGTTTTCCACAGTGTATTGTGGGATCTTGTTCCGTGTATGGTTTGTGTCTGTAACCGAGGACTTCTCGTTTCGTTTTGTTGTTTTTGTTTCGTGTGGTAAATATAATAAAGTATGTTCGCATATCACGCTGCGCATTGGTCTACTCCCTACGACGATCGTGACAGGAGTTTATTACACTGCAGCGAAATTTTCTTCTAATTCATGAATTAATGAAATAGACTACACAACCACATAGACCAGTGGTCATTGGAAAGCTGATTATAAAACAGTGCATACAGTACTCCCAATGGATTGCCATTATGATGAGGATGCTAAGGAGAATACAAACTAGGGCTGTCCCAACTAAAACAAATCTTGCTTGACCGAGACTTGGCTGTTCTTTCAACCAATCGATTGGTAGACATTTTTAAATGTATATTTTTCCATATACATTGCCTTCAGAAAGTATTCATAGATTCAATACTTTAGTCCGCAAAAACACTACAGTGAATACTGTAGTATTTACTGTAGTGTTTGTGCGGACATTACTGTAGATGCTGTAGTATTTACTGTAGTGCTTTTGCGGACATGATTGTAGTATTTACTACAGTGTTTTTTGCAGATAATACTGTAGTATTTAATATAGCATTCTAACAGTATCCTACAACATTCTTTAGTAAGTACTACACATGATCGAGGGATATGGGGGGGGTGGTTAGCAGGCGTGGCCAATGGTGCGGCCTCTGACCAAAAAGACCCTTCACTTGGCCGTAGAGAAAGCTGTTTTAAAGCTAATTTCCTGCAATTCTACACATTTTGACATGGCTTATGCCGTGTTCTTATGTTATCTGAGTGACTCAAACATAACAAAATCATTTTTGACATGACATTTTTGGAATTTAAGATTCTCCCTGACTGTCTAGTTTCTATTTTGGTGATTGTTAGTCCTCAAAGATGATCTTATAAAAAAATATACTGTATATAGCTCCATTATATTTTCTACATACTTTACAGTGCCCTGCAAAAGTATTCATCCCACTTGGCGTTTTTCCTATTTTGTTCCATTACAACCTGTAATTTAAATGGATTTTTATTTGGATTTCATGTAATGGACATACACAAAATAGTCCAAATTGGTGAAGTGAAATGAAAAAAATAACTTGTTTAAAGAAATTCAAAAAAACAAAAAAAAACAGAAAAGTGGTGTGTGCATATGTATTCACCCCCTTTGCTATGAAGCCCCTAAATAAGATCTGGTGCAATCAATTACCTTCAGAAGTCACATAATTAGTTAAATAAAGTCCACCTGTGTGCAATCTAAGTGTCAAATGATCTGTCACTTGATCTCAGTATATATAAACCTGTTCTGAAATGCCCCAGAGTCTGCAACACCACTAAGCAAAGGGCACCACTAAGCAAGCGGCACCATGAAGACCAAGGAGCTCTCCAAACAGGTCAGGGACAAAGTTGTGGAGAAGTACATATCAGGGTTGGGTAATAAAAAAATATCAGAAACTTTGAACATCCCACGGAGCACCATTAAATCCATTATAAAAGAAATGGAAAAAATATGGCACCACAACAAACCTGCCAAGAGACGGCCGCCCACCAAAACTCACGGACCAGGCAAGGAAGGCATTAATCAAAGAGACCAAAGATAACCCTGAAGGAGCTGCAAAGCTCCACAGCGGAGATTGGAGTATCTGTCCATATGACCACTTTAAGCCATACACTCCACAGAGCTGGGCTTTACGGAAGAGTGGCCAGAAAAAAAGCCATTGCTTAAAGAAAGAAATAAGCAAACACGTTTGGTGTTCACCAAAAGGCATGTGGGAGACTCCCCAAACATATGGAAGAAGGGTTGTGGGTTCGATTCCCACAGGGGGCCAGTATAAAAATAAAAAAAATTATTCACTAACTGTAAGTCGCTCTGGATAAGAGCGTCTGCTAAATGACTAAACATGTAAATGTAAATGTACTCTGGTCAGATGAACACTAAAATTGAGCTTTTTGGCCATCAAGGAAAACACTATGTCTGGCGCAAACCCAACACCTCTCATCACCTTTCACTGGGAAACTTGTCAGAATTGAAGGAATGACAGATGGTGCTAAATACAGGGAAATCCTTGAGGGAAACCTGTTTCAGTCTTCCAGAGATTGGATACTGGGACGGAGGTTCACCTTCCAGCAGGACAATGACCCTAAGCATACTGCTAAAGCAACACTCGAGTGGTTTAAGGGGAAACATTTAAATGTCTTGGAATGGCCTAGTCAAAGCCCAGACCTCAATCCAATTGAGAATCTGTGGTATGACTTAAAGATTGCTGTACACCAGTGGAACCCATCCAACTTGAAGGAGCTGGAGCAGTTTTGCCTTGAAGAATGGGCAAAAATCCCAGTGGCTAGATGTGCCAAGCTTATAGAGACATACATTTACATTGACATTTTAGTCATTTAGCTGACGCTCTTATCCAGAGCGACTTACAGCTGTAATTGCTGCAAAAGGTGGCTCTACAAAGTATTGTCTTTTGGGGGGTGAATAGTTATGCACGCTCAAGTTTTATTTGTTTGTCTCACAAGAAAAAATATTTTGTATCTTCAAAAAGTGGTAGGCATGTTGTGTAAATCAAATGATACAACCCCCCCCCAAAATCCATTTTAATTCCAGGTTGTAAGGCAATAAAATAGGAAACATGCCAAGGGGGGTGAATACTTTCGCAAGCCACTGTATATCTGGTTTTAGTCATTTAAATTTACACTGAAAATATTTTATCATCCAGAAAATTATTCCCTGAGTGTACAAAACATTAGGAACACCCCCTTTTGCCTTCATAACAGACTCAATTGGTTGGGGCAAGGTGTCGAAAGCGTTCCACAGGTATGCTGCCCCATGTTGACAACAATGCTTCCCACAGTTGTGTCAAGTTGGCTGGATTTGCTTTGGGTGGTGCACCATTCTTGATACACACGGGAAACTGTTGAGCATGAAAAACCCAGCAACATTGCAGTTCTTGACATAAACTGGTGCGCCTGGCACCTACTACCATACCCCGTTCAAAGGCACTTA